TGATTGGCTTGAAAAATGATCATCTCACCTAGCTTAAAGCGCCTAAGTATTGGCTCATCGCAAGCACCGAATTAATGGTTTACAAAGAAGCGCATCACCAAAACGACAAATTTTCCAAGATTGGATTGTCATCTCAAACTGGCAATGTTTCCAAGCATTGATTGTCGCGCTTATCCTCTATTTGGTATTTTTTTCCAAGTTCGGATTATCATACATTCACCAAATCGTTGGCAATATTTTCGAGATTGGATTGTCATACACCTAGTTCCCTATGGCAAAATTTCCCAAAGGATTTTTGTAGGTCTCTATTCATCTTAAAATTTCGGCAAAGGTTACCCAACGTGGATTGCCATTCATTTCGGCAGTGGAAAATTTTCCCGAGGTGGATTGTCGATTGACTCTTTGTTGCAAATGTTCCAAGACGTGGATTGTCAATTGTGGCAATATTTTCCCAAAATATTGTCGCATAATATTGGAAAATTTCCAAGGTGGATTGCTTTCAAGAGTTATATTCCAAAACGTGGATTGTCGATTGTAGCAAGGTTCTTATGATAGATTGTTACGAAGAATTGGAAACTTTTCCCAAGTTTGAACTTTGGCAAAATTTCCGAGATACGGATTGTCGCTTCATCGTGGCAACATTTCCTAGGATGGATTGTTACGAAGAATTGACAACTTTCCCTAAATTGGATTGTCGTAAATCATTCAAGAGTTGTGTTGGCAACTATTCCTAAAGAAGAGAGGATTGTCATCACCCCCAAGGGATCAATGCAATAAGCAAATAGCGAAGTAAATCACTGAGGATCAACAAGCGGTGGTCTTTAATAACTTTCCTGGGAATATTATCATCATAAAACTAAAGATGGCTACAAGAAGCGGTCTTCGACGATGTCCCAAGGTAGAGAGAAGATTGTCTACACCAGCGAGGCACAACCGTGGCAAGGTACGTCCACAACTGAAGATAGCTACAAGCAGCGGTCTTTGACGATGTCCCAAAGCAGAGAGGAGATTGTCTATAGCGGCGAGGCACTGCCGCAACCCCTGAACATGGCGAGGCACAGTCAACTTCGACAATGTTCCCGAGGCACTGTGGAGGATTGTCACTAGAAAATGAAGATAGCGAGGCACTATTACCTTCAGATGGTGTTCACGAGGCACTGTGGAGGTCATTACCAACAATAATACAACAACAAATCGGTTACTCTAGAGAAGTGTTGTTGACGGTGCAAGATAAGCGTTTCTAACTCTTTAATCTGTTTAACTAATGCTAGTTTGCAGGTATCGGCATTAGAAGAATGATTTAGGATCGCAGAACTTTTAGAATCATTCTCCGTCCCTATTGCTACTGTAGACACCCAAATGTGTCTCCTCAAAACCAAACCCAGTGTTGAATACCTTTCACGTCATTTGATTATTGAACAAAGTGAAAGTGTGAAAAGTCTAGTGATGTGGTTGTTTTTATTAAAATATCTTTCTTTCTCTTTTTGAAAATATTTCTTTTTACACTATATTTATGAAAATAGCCTGTCCAATTTAGTTTGGTCCATGATAAGGGTCCAATATTAGTGTAGTTGGATTGGGTTCGAAAGGAGCTTTCCAATGATATATCATAAGCCCAATTCCGATGGATAATGAGGAAGTTATGGCCTAAATTAAATTTGGCTCGAAATGAATTTTATATGTTGCCCAATGATCTAGAGGAAGGCCTATTAATTATTATTCCTAAACTTATTAGGAATGATTTAAATCTTCTAGAATAATCTAGAAGTTTGAATTATAATGAGATTAGGATTGATAATTATATTTTAAGAGTTTTATTTGGAATAAAATAAGTGATTTGTCACAAACCTGATTTTAATCTGATCAACGCGGAATTAGCTGCTTAATCATATTAAGAACATAATTCCGCGTACAGAGCGCATCTTATCTTTTAGTTAGCGCCAAACGATAGAGTTTATCGCCAGACGACATAGTCTGTCGCCTGGCGCTAATGTCTATCGCCGGGCACTAATGTCTGTCGCCTGGCGATAGATGCCAGTTTTATTTCATATAGAACTTGAATTATTTTCTATCGTTTTTGGACTATTTTTTTATATAAATTGGGGTCGTATCACCCCGTTTTCAATCATTCACAATCATCATTCATAACCATCATCTCTCTCTAAATGCTAGAAACTTTCTTTCTCTCTATTCTTTTTCTAAACCTTCCTTCTCACAAAATTACACATACATTAGTTCTTGACACACCTAGTGAAGTTTGAAGTTGCCTTCGCCCTAAACGTGAAAGGTTGACAATTTCTGAGGGTTTGGTACCAAATATCTATTTCAATTATTTAATTTAATTGTTTGATTTATTATTTTCCTTGAAGTTACTAACGCGTGTATTTTATTATTAGAAAGAGAAACAAGGCATCCAAGTAAGTAATTTAATTATTATTCTTTTGATATAGAAATTATGCTTTAATTGTTTTAATTCCTGGTATCACGTTAGGATGCTTTTATTGTTTCCTGGTATCATGTTTAGGGTAATAACTAAGATTTCTAATATCATGTATGTTTCTATGATGCCTTCTATTCTTTCCTAATATCATGTTAGTATCATGTTAGGGATAAAGCTTTGATCTTTATTGTTTAGTGACATGCTAGGGTTTGTTATTAATCTTGTTAGTATTATGCCTAGGATCTTGCTAATATTATTATGCTTTGAGATTATTATGGTTGTGATTATTATGTTGCTTGATATTATTTATTTTTATTGCTTGATCACACCTTTTATGCATGTTTAAAGGGAATTTGCACTTGTAATTACGCTTAATAAGATAATTAATAGTCTTGTTTAGGCTAATATGATTATAATTCAAGTGATCACCAATAATAGGTTTGTTTGTGCATTAAAATTCAACCAACATAGATTAAACAAGTTTAGGATTAACCTATTGATTGTATGTTAGTAAAAAAGCGCACATGAATATGAGAAGAATAAAGTAGAGGCCAATTTTTAGGGCAAGTTCAATCTTATTTAGGTTGGATTTGTACTTTCATCCCCGAATATCCTGTCATGGTTCCAGACCACTACGGAGTTAGCGATCTCATGGATCGTGAAGGGGTGTAACCTTCACCCTGTGAACGGTTTACAAGTTCCTAAAACTTGTTGGTGACTCTTTTTCTCTAGCTTCGTTCCCTTTGGACGCCACCATGCTTAAGTGGATGATCATAGTGGGGCTCAAGTGTGGGATGCTTGAAATATTCTCTACAATCACCCTCTTTGAACTCTCTTGGGAGGATCATCTTGTCGTACCATCTCTTGGTCTTCTCTTTGTAAAAACGTTCACTATCATAGGCTATCAACCTAAACTCATCTAATTAATTGAGTTGCAGAAGCCTCTTTTATCCCGCTAGTTTAGCATCCAAATATAGCTCTTTAATAGCCCAATATGCTTTATACTCTGATTTCACCGGAAGGTGACATGCTTTACCATACACAGTTCTATAGGGTGAAGTACCAATTGGGGTCTTAAATGCGGTTCTATACACGCAAAGGGTGTCATCCAACTTATCACTCCAATATTTACTAGATTTTGCTACCATCTTCTTTAGAATGGCCTGATAGGAGTGGTGTCCTTCGAACAAGTGTATTATTCCGATAGTAGGTTCCGAATTATTAGAAAGCTAATTATTTAGTGAGGCCAAGTGATCGGAGTGCATAGGTGGAGGCCGCTTACGATCAGTAATATTAATGAGTAATTAATATTACATCTTAATCTTGACTGAACCCTTCAGATCACACCCAAGCAACTAACGAACCGACACAACGATTAATTTGGAAGGAATTAAAAAGTCGATCGAATAATTAATATTTAGACGTTGGAATTTCGAGCTTGGAGCGTCAAAAGTCGAGTCGAAATAAAAGACGAGACGGTAAAATTGCTAACTAATCAACAATTTACCGAAATACCCCTAAGATCGGAATGCCCCGAGAAAGCCGATGCCCAGGGACATTTGGTATAGTCGAGGTTGCTAGCAAACGCACTAAGCCGAGCCTAGGATGGCTGGTGCGTGCTAGCACACCATGGGTAGCATGGTGCTAGCCGTGGCAGCCGGGAAAAGGCAGCAGCCGCAAGTTAAGGCCAACAGCTAGCTGGGCCGAGGCTGTAGTCGCAAGCCGCAAGCCAAGGCCAGCAGTAGCTAGACCGTGGCAGCAGCCCACCCGGCTGCCTTGGTGCCCAATTCGGGGTGCCACGTTGCAGCCACCAATTGGTGGTTGAAGTATGTAGATGGTTGACTCTTAGGGGGGTCCTTGGGGATCAAGTTTGGTCCCCTCCCCTCCTTGTCGTCCTCACCTAACTCTTTTCCTATATGTGCCACTTGTTGATTAATTAGTTGTTTGATATTTAATTTTATTTTTGATTTAAAAATAAAGAAAGAAGATTGATTTTACCAACTCTCCCACATTAATGGGAGAGAGGAATTCACTCTTGGTTTTCCCTTTAAATATCCAAGTTGGGGTATGGGAAAAATCACTTGAGGAAGGTGTTAGAAAAGACATCTCCATTAAGAAAGCCTTTAAACACATATAATTACTCGAGTATTAGGTCGGGCTTAGCTAACCTCTAAGAATTGGACCTTGTAGGGGTCGAGTTCTGTTTGGATACCGTTGGCGGTTTCGCCCGTGCGAGAATAAAGGCTTTCTCAAGTAAGAGCTCGGGGGTACGAGCGAAGCACACGTCAAATGTAATTAATATTTCCTTAATTTTTGTTAATTAAGTTAATTATGTCTTATGATTATATTGATTGTGAGTGTGGTCTTGGCTTGGGTTTTCTTCCGCGGTGAGTTGGACTCATCAAAACCCATCATAGCCTTGGTCTCACGGTTGGAAATTTCAACTTGGCCACTAGTTTGGGGATGGTAGGCTAAACTTGTCTTATGGTATACACCATACTTCTTGAGAAGGGTATTTAACTTCCGCTCATGAATTGAAAGTGAGATCCTCCATCACTAATTATCGCTTTAGGTACTCCAAATCTCTAGGAAAGATAGTTTTCTTGAAAATCCTACGGACCACCTTGGCATCATTAGTAGGTGTGGCAATGGCTTCAACCCTCTTGGATACATAATCGACGGTGACAAGTATATATCGATTTCCCCATGAAGAAGGAAAATGTCCCGTGTAATTAACACCCCAAACATCGAAAATTTCAACTTCCAATATACTTGTTTGAGGCATCTTATGCTGCCGCGAGATGTTGCCACTTTTCTGGCAAAAGTCACAAGCCTTCACAAAAGAGTTAGCATCCTTGAACATGGTATGCCAGTAGAATCCTGACTCATTGATCTTATCCACCATTTTGGTGGGGCCAGGATGTCCTCCATAAGTTAAGTTGTGGCATCTAATAAGAACACCATGAACTTCCCATTCGGGACCACACCTACGAAATAATCTGTCTACACACTCACGAAACAAAAAAGGATCATCCCAAAAATAATGTTTAACATCAGAAAGGAATTTCTTTTTCTGTTCGTAGGACAATTTGGGAGGTAGAGTACTGTCCGCAAATAATTTGCAAAATCGGTGTACCAAGGATGTTGCTCTACGAGTGCATACAAGTGTGCATGAATATAGATACTATAAGCAGAATTGTATGAATCATATTCATAAGCATCTATCAAACGGAAACATTGCATAACACATAAATAATAAGTAATTATACCTTTGAAGCGTGATTCCATGTATAATTGAACAAGAACAAGGGAGATAAAGAACCTCAAGCGTGATTCCTCTACTTGGTCCACGAGCACGGATTAAACCTCCACTAATGCTAGTTAGTCGTGACTGAATGTTTCCAATCAACCTTCTACGGAGAGGAGAGGAATAAGCTAGCCAAAAACCACCACCATGAGGCACCACACGTCACCAAGGGAAGGTGGCCGTGTTTACATACGACGAGGGGGGAAGGGTTTGCATGAGGAGAGAGAGAGAGCTTTAGTGTTTTGGGATTGGTTGCCTTGATGTCCAATTAAATGTAAGTTAATTGTGACTTAATTGCAACCCTAGGTATGTACCTTATTTATAAATCACATCTCTAAATAACAGTCCATGTCAAGCCCAAAATCCTAACTCTAACATAACTACTCTAGCCCAATCTTATTCATGGTTAGTCATATCCTCATGAGGCCTATTAATGGACCTCTAACTTGTTTAATCCAATACCCTTGTTGTGTGACCTCATAGGATCCATTCTAGAGGTTTGGACTATTTGACTAGCCCAAAGATCATTTATCATAATCTAGCAATATACAATGACGACCCAAAAGAATAAACTTATTATCTCCATAATAGTCATCCTTGATATATCTAGTAATTGTACTTATTGAAGACATAATTCCTTCAATCTCCTACTTGGCTGAGAGAAGTGCGCAATTGGCGGTAACAAACGTAAATTCATTAGTGTAGTATACATTTTTCAAGATCAAGATAACAAATATGTTTTATTGCCTTTTACTACAAAAGACAACATTTGTCAAATTGTTACAATTATGTGTGCTGCCTATTCTCATTTTTTTTGTAGTTAAGAATTTATTAAGTCATCCATTAAAAAAATTAATAATTTAAAGGATACTCCCCTCCATCCCTTTATTACATGCCTGTATTCCTTTTTGGGATGACCAAAATTAAGTGCATATTGCTAGAAACTTTCCTTATTTGGCATGTATTTTTTTTACTCAAATACCCTAATTGTCCTAATTTAATTCCCATATTGTCTTGTAGGCGTTGTTCGAAGTGCGCCTACGTTAAAGCATGTGGTGAATATGCTTGGAACTCATAGGAAGTGGGAATTGACATACGATTCGGGACACGATTAAGGACAAGGAAAGTAGGGAGCTGCCAACAACTTTTTAAGGAACTTGTAAACCATTCACGGATCATAAAAGGCAACGACGAATAAGGGACAATGATAGGCAACAATGATTGACCCGTGAAGGTTACACCGCATTCATAATTGTAGACACCGAAATGTGTCTCCCCAAACCAAACCCACTGATGAATACCTTTCACGTCGCTTGATTATCGAACAAAGCAAAAGTGTGGAAAGTCTAGTGATGAGAATGTTTTTATTAAAATATTTCTTTTACTGTTTTCAAAAATATTTCTCTTCTTACTCCTATTTATGAAAATAGCCAGTCCAATTTGGTTTGGTATATAATAAGGGTCCAATAATAGTGTAGTTGGATTGGGATCGAAAAGAGCTTTCCAATGATATATTATAAGCCCAATTCTGATGAAATGTGAGGAAATTATGGATTAAATTAAATTAGGCCCAATGATTTTTAAGGTGGCCCGATGATCTAGAGGAGGGCCTATTAATTATATTTTAAAGATGTTTTATTTAGAATAAAATATATTAAATCTGATTTTGAAAGCTGCTCAGACGCTTAATTACCTGTAACCAGTGTTAAAGGTAATTACGCGTGGAAAAGCGCGTTGATTTTTGGACCAGCGCGAGACGATAGAGTCGTCGCTAGGCGTTGACCTTCGTTGCCTGGCGACGAGCTTGTCGTTTGGCGCTGGCTCTTGTCGTTTGCGACAGGAGGTATTTTATTCCGAATATGATTTTCATTGATCCCGTGCTATTTTTCCTATAAATAGGGGTCGCATCTCCCTGTTTTAAAATCATCTACATCTACAATCTCTCTCTCTCTCTAAAAGATAGAAGCCTTTTTTTCTCTCTCTACTTTTTTTTTCTAAACCTTCCCTCTTTCAAAATTCCTCATACATTATCTTTAGAAACACCTAGCCAAGTTCGAAGTTGCCTTCGCCCTAGACGTGAAAGAAAGAGGTACGAGACATCAAAGTAAGTACTTTAATTGTTTTATTGATCTTTTGATATAGAAATTATGCTTAGATTGTTATTTTGATTCCTAGTATCGTGTTAGGATGTTTTATTGCTTCCTAGTATCATGTTTAGGCCGGGTTAATTAATATTTCTAATATCAAGTATGATGATGCTTCTTATTTCTTTCCTAATATTATGTTAGTATCATGTTAGGGTTAAAGCTTTGATCTTTAATGTATACTGACATGCTAGGGTTTGTTATTAATCTTTTTAGTATCATGTTTAGGATCTTGCTATTAATGTCATTATGTTTTAACATGATTATAATTATGATTATTGTTATTATGTTGCTTGATATTTATTGTTATTGCTTAATCACGCCTTTTATGCATGTTTAAAGGGAATTTGTACTTGTAATCACACTTAATAAGATAATTAATAATCTTGTTTATAGATTTGTTTGTGCATTAATATTCAACAAACATAGATTAAACAGGTTTAGGGTTAACCTATTGATTGCATGTTAGTCAGAAAGCGCACATGTATACGAGAAGAATAAAGTAGAGGCCTATCATTAGAGCAGGTTCAATCTCTTTTAGGTTGGATTTGTAACTTCATCCCCGAACTTCCAGTCATGGTTCTAGACCTATTGGAGTTAACGATCTCCTGGATCGTTAAGGGGTGTAACCTTCACCCTGTGAACGGTTTACAAGTTCCTAAAACTTGTTGGCGACTCTTTTACTCTAGCTTCCTTCCCTTTGGACACCACCATGCTTAAGTGTATGATCACAATGGGGCTCAAGTGTTGGATGGCATGAAATATTCCCTACATCCATGAGATTACTAACTCTATATGGTTCGGAACCACGAAAGGAGGATCGGGGATGATGGTACGAAGTGAGTCATGGAGTCACATTCGCCCGTATTGGCCTCTACTCGACTCTTATAGTGAAAATTGATTCTTGTGATCTCAAAGGCATGAAAACAAAGATTTAATTTGCTTCAAACTATTATTAAGCTAAATTGGTTGAATATTAATGTAACATCGAATTCTAAAATATCGTGATCACTTGGTTAAATGACAAGATCAAAAGGAACCTAAATCGGTTGTCCAAATTATCTTATTAGGCGTGATTTTCAATTACATATTCCCTTTAACATGCAAAATGTTGATCATAATAATAATAGAATAAACATTAATATTGGAAGCAATTTAACAATAAATCCAACCGGTTAAAGGACCCTAAAAGCAATTTATATGGAAAATGAGTAGATGGAACACACGAAACCCTAAAAAGGATAAAAACCCTAAAAACACTGCCGCAACACGAGTAATATTTGTGTGATGCGGGATATTCTGGAGTGACACGGGACATATTTGACCTACGGGAAGTAAAACGCGTGAAGGGTTTACGCGGAAAAGACACGAGATTGTCCCGTGTCACGACACTGGCGCCGTGTCACGGGGAACTATGCCGTGGCGCGGTAGAATATCCTATGACGTGGCAGATCCTATGTCCCTTTTTCCGTTCAAGTACATTTTTGCCCTAATTATGTTCAGCCATTTTAAGTGTCGATTCATATTTTCGGGCTATTTTGATTTTTCATTTATTAATTGGGCTAAAATAATAATAATAATAAATAAATAAAAAGGTTTGGGCTAAAATAAAAATTAAACTATGATTTGACTAAACATTGATCTGTTGACCATTTTTAAAACTGGATTTAATTAAATATGACTTTTTAAGAAGTCTTGGGATTAAATATTGTAAGGAGGGTGATCCCATCGTAAGGGGTAATCTCCTTAAATGCCCTTGGCCACTTAAAAGCCTAGGACTTTACAGTTGTTAAGGTGTAGTAGGATTTGAATTCCTGACTGTTTGGGGGGACCTTGAATTAGAATTGATTCCATCATCACGTTTTTTTATAAGAAACAAGTAGGAGTCGCCAATAAGTTTTAGGAAAAACTCATAAACCTCGTTCATGCCTTTCTTCCATGTGGAGTTCATGGAATAATTAGCACAAATCATAAGTTTACCCATGCCCAAATTGGTCTATAAACCAGAAATGAGTTCGGGAGCGAGGGTACTAAGATAATGTTCCTTTTAGAGGGGAATCGTCATCCTAGCCCTAGTACGGCCTCTACTAGCTCTCCCTTTTTCACAATTTCATCACCAAACAATATATGCAACGCGATACCTAAAATTATGTTAGTTGATTTTATTCACAAGCATTAATTCACGTAGGAATTACATTGTAAAAGTCGTTATTCTTATTTAATAATATTTGTGAAAGAACAATAAATAAACAAGATTCATCTTGGCTTAAGTGATCAACCAACAATTATTTAATTCAATTCTAGTCTTTATTTAACGCAAGATACTATGTGGAATTGATTAATTAATTATTTTAAAAGTGATCAAACAACACTAATTAATTAATTAAAGTCCTTTTAAACAAGAAAAATAAAGGTGATTTAACTAAGTGCTCGGGATTTTACCACTTCTCTTTGCTAGATCTTCGTTTAGAACACTTATGGACACCTTCTTGTTGGGGAACCTCCACCGTAGTAACAAAGTATCGAAAGGGTGAGTGTTTAGGACATGAGGGCTAGGTTGCACAAGTTCACAAGTTATTTCACCAGAGTTTTAGGTTAATTTCCGTCTGTTGAAGCCTCGGTTTAGGCTCGTATTTATAGAGAAGGATTAGGTTTAGGGTTTCGAGCTTTCTGCCGCAGCAGGTGTCGCGCGCAACTAATGAAGTTACGCGCGGCATCCCAGCGCAAGTAATAGAGTTGCGCTGCTATGTGCAGCGCGACTATTGTCTTGCGCGCGGCTTTATGGTAAGATTCGATTTTATATTTTTTCCGAATAATTACAAATCTTCCACAGCGCAACTCTGAAAGTTGCGCTGGGTGCCGGGCGCAACTGAATTAGTTGCGCGCGGCAGCCCTGCGCGACTTTGTGAGATGCGCGCGGCTTTTTCTGCGGCAGCACTAAGTTTTAACCTAGGCGCTCCTAAATCCGTCATTGTTAGGGTTTAAGCACGGGCTTAAGCCTAATTATGATCAGGTTTAGTTAATTGGACCTTTGTTTTAGCTTTTCGTTAATTTGGGCTAGTCTTTTGTGTTTTGTGGCTTAACCAGTTATCCATAAGTATTCTTCACTTTGATCCAACACGAAGATGAATTTATTTATCGTCATTGCACTTCCTGTCGAGACAGGAGGCCAAAATTAGATGTCTACAAATACTAAACCCAACCAATAATGGAGGTGATAAATTGTTCATCATCGGGTTTGATTTCGGGGAGACATTTTTAGGTGTGTACATGTCCTCATTTTAATCTCACCTGTCAACTCTCTTTCTTATTTTTTGTGTTGACTCTTTTGGGAATTTACTCACACCGACATATTCTCTCTCTCTCCTTAATTTTCCACAAGCTTCTGGGTTCTTCCTTCCTCTGTTTCTCTCTCTAAACTCATCTTCAACCTCTTTAATTCTTCTACTAGTTGCACAAATTGATTAATTTTTAGAAAAAAATTCCTTGTTCGCAGCAGATAGTCCCAACAACAGCATCCCCCTTTTTATTTAGACCCAATTAAGACTTGTATGGTGTAGATATGATATTTTTGCTACTAATTTCTATTTTCTCTGTCATCTTAAAAATCCGATCTGGTTGCATATGTGTGAGTTCTTAGATGGATTTGTGTGGTTCTTCAAATTTTAAAGGTAATTCCACTAATTTTCTCACTCCTAGCTTGTTTAAAAATGTCCCAAAAATCTCCTTGTTGTAGTACAAGTGGTTATGGTAAAAGTGGTTGTGGTTACAGTGGTGGTGGTAAGGGTGGGCGTGGTCAGGATGGTTGTGGTGACGGTTGTGTTTGTAAGGGTGGGTATGGTCACGATGATTATGGTTCCAGTGGTTGTGGTAAGGGTGGGTATGGTCACGATGATTATGGTTCCAGTGGTTGTGGTATTGGTGGTTGTGGTAACGATGGTGGTGGTTCCGATGGTGGTGGTAACGGTGGTTCATGTTACCGTAGTAATGATGAGGAGAAGGTGAACCTTAAAAATAGCCACAAGTTCCCACCTTCCTCTGTGTATTACCTTGATCTTGATGAAGCATTTGGGGATTGTACGGAGGATGATATGAGTGGTGATGATGAACCATATGAGTGTAGCGATCGTGATTGTCATCTTACTACTTCTAGTCGTGGTGAAAATTCATATAGTTTGAATGTTTCCTATAGTTTGAATGTTTGGAGGGATTGTTTTGGTAGGTATCTTGATCCTTGGGAGAATAATAGTCATTATGGAATTGGTGGTTGTGGAGATGGAATCGAAGATGGTGAGGAGGTTCAATCTGTGGCCAAGCAACCAACTGAGCCCCCTGTTAACCCTATTTGTTATGCTTCTGATTCATGAGATTCTGAAAATTTTCCCATTGATCGTTATGTACCTAGTACTTTCTTTGGATACGTAAGTGATTCTTGTCAATCAAGTTCCCCTCAAGTTGATGGTGTTGCCTCTGGATATGCAAGTGATTCTTGTGAATCACATAGCTAAGTTTCCTGATCTCTATTTACTTATGTGTTTAATTAATTCATCTTAATATTGTTTAGGTTATTTAGATTGTAAAACTTGGTTGGATGCTAGCAACTGTGATCTGTTGCTGGCCAGGAGTTTTGTCACATGTTGTGTTTGGTGGTGTTGATTGGAGTATTAGTGTTGTTGGTGTTAGTAGTGGGAGTTTTAGCATGAGTATGGCTAGATATTATTGTTAATCTCAGTACGCTTTTGGTGTTTAATATGAGTTTGACTATTATTAATCTGGAATGATAATTTACTTGATGCATGATTGCCTTGTTCATTTACTTGATGCATGATTGCCTTGTTCATGATGCTAAAAATTTGGTGATGTGATGCATTATTTACTTGATGCTTATGCTTCATGTAGTGGTCATTACCACATTCATTTACTTGGTTTTGGAGTATTATTGTTTTATCAGATGCATGAGTATGATTATTATCTTAAACCTTTGCTCTCTGTCCATTTACTGTCAAAGTTTGATAAAGTCTATGATGAAAGCCTTGGGTTTATGAGACCACACTTTTCATTATGTGAGGTATAGTGTTTGCCATTGTTTAAGTCCACCCAATCATCATATGTGTTTGAGTGTCAACTCTTTGGGCAGAATTATTCCTTACTTGGGATTGTGGTCAATGATTGTATTTTGGGGACAACTGAGACTAAAACCAATTGTTTCCTTTTTTTGAGAACAATTATGATATATATATATGTACTTGTTTTGATGACTCTGTCCATTTTTTTCCCATTATTTCTATGAATAGTCTATGATGATAGTCACTTCAACGAGACCTTTTCCAATAGCATTTGCCATTGACAAACATCATTCAATACAGAGTATAATTGTGTTGATGGATGAACATTCTTTAGGCATAGCTGTTGTGAAATTATTGTTAATGGTCAATGATTGGTATGGGAAATTTGAGACCATTATTTTCATTTTCTTTTAATCAATGATGAGACTCCAGTATTTGTGGTTATTATCCCATTTTTTATTTAATTTACTTTGTCATTAGCTTCCAACCATATACACTTGGTTGTTGAGACTTGTAGGCTTATGTGTTGAATAAGTAAAGGGGTGCTGATCAGTGATAGATGGGGGCTTCTGAGATGATTGTTTTGCATGTTTATGTTATCATAAGTGTGTGAGTAATAAAGAAAATGAAATACAAAAGTAAATTCAACTAAGTTTTTTCATTATAAATTTGAAATAGATCATACAATTTCAATTTCATACAAAAGTTTTTAACTTTGCTACCCCCCAAGAAAGATAAGACAAAATAAGATTAACAGATTATATTCTTTCATTTACTCACTAGTAGAAAAAGTGCTATTTGTAACTGGCGTATGTTATGTTAGTTACGAAAGCATTAATAGTAACCGACTAAAATAATGCCAGTTACTAATTTTATGATATTTGTAACCGGCGTAGTAAATGTAAGTTACTAATATGTGGTTTATCATTATTTGAAGTTTTATTAGTAACGAACTATATAAATGCCAGTTACAAATATTAAGTCAAAAAAACTTTGACCAAAAAGTTCGTAACTAGCTTACAAACGTCAGTTACAAATATTAAATCAGTTAAAGTTTGACAAAAGATTTATAACTAACTTACAAATTCCAGTTACAAATATTATTATTATTATTATTTTGAAGAAAGTTACAAATATTATTTAGTAACTTGTTTTTAAACGCAAGTTATTAGTTCTTTCAAAAAAAATAAAAATTATTTTTATTTAATTTTAATCTAACACTAAAACATAGACTTTTCCTTAAAAACAAACACATACTTAAAAAATTTTATTTTCACTTTCATTGTTCTTTGGCGCGACACAGAGGTTCCTGTATCCTCCACAGCTTCTTCCTCCTTTGCTCCAACAAACTGCTCCAATCATAATTACTTTGTTTTTTTCGAATTTTGGTTCAGCAAAATACGTTCTATATCGTTGTTCAAAGGTATGTAATTTTTCAAATTAGGGTTATTCTAATTTTCCCAATCTTAATTCTAAAATTACACCCTAATATTGGAATTGAATTTTGTTTTTTATTAAAGTCGAATACCCTAAGATTATGTATGAATTTGATATACTCTAGAATTGTATTTGCTGCTGGTCTGCTATTTCTTAATTTGATCTGATTTCAGTTTCAAGGAAGGATTTATGTCTTCTGGTGTGATTTTATTTTGATTGAGGTTTAATAGATAAAGGCTCTAATTGGGGTACACTAGCCGAGTATGTTAGGCTGCTGTTTTTCTCTTTGAAGCGTGTGTAAATTTGTGTGTGCAAGTTAATTGAGATGTTTATATCGACTGTGAATAACAATTTTCAACATAGTGCTATAGATGTTTCCGGGAATTCACCTAGGAACTTAGAGGTTCATGTGCTCTTAGAATCGCTTATTTTGTTATAGCTTACATATTTCTTTCTTTAATGCTGGTGTTGTCTATTTACAGGACCACATCAATTAATTCATTATTTTACTTGCTTGTTTGTATATGATAGACTGAAAATTCATTTCACTCCTTACCTTTCTTGGTTTTTTGATATATGGAAAATGGTTGCTATATTTTAATGTACTTGAGGAGCTGGAAGATCGGTCATCGGTGTCTGAGTTATCTTATTCTGAATTTCTTGCTGATCTTTTGTCAGCTCAGGGAATTTTATCGAATCTTGATGTATAAAAATTATAGATTGAGTATTCATAAAGCTTTTGTGTATCACGGAATTGAATGAAGCTATTATACTAAACAAACAAGCGACTGATTCTAACTATTATCAGTATAAGTGTTATAGCTAGTTGCTGACATGCTAAAGCTGTTGCTGACACTAATACCTTGCTATTGTTGAATTTGTTACACCTGCTGCTACCTATAAGTAGTAAGACTTGTAACAAACTAACAACCATCATTAGATCACTATCCTTGGCAAGATGTGCCTATAGTTCGTATCCGAATACCAGTTAGCACGACTTATTTAGCATCCCTTGCTGCTGCCCCCCTTCTGCTGCTCCCGTGGTGTTACTCCCTACTTTCGATCTGCTGCTCCATTAGTCCATTACTGCTGCCCCCCTCTTTCTGCTGCCTCCCCTGCATTCTGCAACTCAAACAATGCAATGTAAGGTACTTGGTATATTATTATTACGTGTGTATATATAGTTATAATATTGTCTATTTTATATACATTATATATAATTAGATAAAGCAACAAACATTTCCATAAAATACTAGTTCATAGCGTTTAAATTTTGATATTTTATTGTGTTCATAACCCCTTAAAGCTACTGATCAGTCGCACTTGTTCTCGGAGGATCAGTTTGCTCGATTAACTTCAGAAGGCTCGTTCTCCTTCGTTAAGAGGTCTTTTTAGGTGATTATTTTTTTGAATTTGGGTGAAATTTTGTCTACTTTCTGCCTGCAAAATGTCATAATTGTTCGAGTTATTTTGCTATTAAAATGGACTGTTTTCCGCAACCGTGTCAGTTTTAGTCAGAGTTAATAGTTATTGCTGTTTGTATGCGATTTTGTTCCAAGTTGTGCTGCAGTTTTTGCTTTGTTTTGTGCACATACTGTGTGTATAGATCATGGAAGACGAGGCTATATTCAATTCATGAATAGACTACACATTATATTCAATCATTCTTGTTTTCTTAATTGTAACCAGTATTTTAATCGATTAAGCAAATAAATTTGCACCCACCTCTATGATTGTGTCATCATAATCCTAATTGAAATAAATTATATACATGGACTGTCATAGGCGATAATTTGAATTCTCCGTAGCAAATTTAGAATGTGTTACTATCTCTGTTTTATAATGCTTGTAGAATTAGCTTAATTTTATTTCCTTTAATTTATCAAATCAATGAAGCATTTTTATGATTTTTTTTCTTTATTTAACTGCTTATATTTTGTTTCTGTCCTCATCTGAATTCTGAGTTCAAATTGGTTTGAATGAAAACTCTCAGTTGAAGGTAAAGATTGATAAAATTAAAAGTAACTGTGAAGAATTTTCTAAGGTATGCAGATTATCAATTCTTATATGGTGCCAATGCTGCAACTTAAGAATTTTATTTAAAAAGGACATAATCTTTCTTTAGGAACTTGCTCCTGTCAAGGTCAGTTAATATCAGAGAGATCAAGATGTTTCATGCAAAGGCTGCAACTATTCTATATCTACTGAACATGCTTTTTTTTTTTGACAATATCTACTGAACTGTTGAACATGTTGATGAAAAATAATTGTATACAGGGAGCATACTGATCTTTACTCATATGTTGTTTCATCTGTCTACATACTTATCTAAACATGGTTTAAATTCTATATAGCTAAGAGTTGATGGCGTACTTATGAGACTTCGGGACACTCTTCGGCATTGTGTTTTTTGGAGAAAACTCATAACATGTGGTCCTTTGAGAAAGCTGCGTGCCGGAGAGAGTGTTCATTCTGTGCCTTGGCTGTAGTAAGTATTTGTGTTACCCCTTAGCTGTCTATTTACTGCTTTAAATGAATTTCTGCAACTATTTTGCTCTTATACTAATTTGCTCTATTAATTAATCTTGCAGAAAGGGTATCCATTAATGTTGCATTGCTTCATATAATGATCCAAGAATATGGTCTAAAAAGGCTTTAGATGTATGCAATATGTTACATTAGCTTAAACATTTTTATTTGATAATTGGACACGTTTTGTTCGAGGATCATATTTGGTGCTTTATTTTGTTGATGTATGTATGTACGATTCAATCTTTATTTTGTTGAATTGTAGCAGGTTATAACCCATTTGCCGATGGGTCGTTTGGTAGGATATATTACCAATCTTGTATCGAATCAAATAATTATTTGAAAAAAAATTATTTATTTATTAGTAACTAGCGTAATCTAATGCTAGTTAATAATAATATATATTTTTTTAAAAAAAAATTCTATTTGTAACTGGCGTTAGGCTATGCCAGTTACAAATAATACCCTAATTGTAACCAGCGTAACTTAATGCCAGTTACGAATAGTATGATTTCTAACTTGAAAAATAGACTATTTGTAACTGGCGTTAGGTTAAGTCAGTTATGAATAGTATATTATTAGTAACCAACATTAGCCGGTTACAAATAATTTTCACTAGTTGTAACGGTGGCAATCGCAACCAACAATGCCAGTTACAAAAAATCAATTTCGCCAGTTACAAATAGCATTTTTTCTACTAGTGACTTCTGGAAATTGTAGTGTTGTGCCCAAAAAGTTGTTTACACTAAATTAGTTTGAATACGTACTTCACTTCTTCTGTTTAGATGATGAAGCTTCATAGTCATTAGCACATGCTTTTGTCTTATGCTTTGACATGCACTGTGATTCATCCCATAATGTTTCATCATTTATTTGTGATGCCTGTAGGCTAGGTCTTCATTCATAACATCCGGGTATGCTTCAATGTATTCCATGTTGTCTTCTTCTTCAATTGTGATCACTTCATTGACATGTGCCTGCATATTTTCAATATCATTTGGTGTAACATGTTGCTGCCTTTGTGTTGAATTGATCCCTTCATCATCGATTGGTGGTTCACCTATGTCCCCATAACATGCTTCCCATGGTTGTAACACAACCCAAGTTGGTGCGTGCATCCTTTCTTCTAATTTCCCTTCCATAAGTAATTTCTCCTTGTTCATATCTGGGGTAGTGAAGTCATTGCCTCCTTCCACCTTTAACACCTCATTCACTATTGCTTGTAGTGTAACCCACACAAAACACAATGTTTAAGGCTCTAACTCATAATATACTTGATTAACTGCTGATAGTAACTCATCAACATTCTTTGGCATCTTTTTATGTTGAAGTGTCTGTATGAAATTGAAAAAACCTAAATTCAAGATGTTTAAATCTAGACTATTAGGTGGCTGCAACACTAATATGTAAGTGAATTTCCCTTGTTGATAAACTTGTTGCCACTCAAGATCATCTTTTTATGATATGTGTTATGCAATTATCTTGTTGTATGTAGATGGGATTTGAAGTGCCATCACTTAGCCACTTGGCTTTGATTGCTAAATTTTTTTTATCAATGAGCATCCTTCTCATTGTTTCCTTTGTAACTGATTCTATTACTTTAGTCACGATTGTTCCTTTTTCTCTGTCCTTTGAATTCCTTTTGGCTGGCTCTTGAAAATTAAATGGGAATTTACCAAATCTCCCATCAAAGTAACAACTTCCATCATCTCTGAACCTTGGTCTAGCTGTTATTTATACAAACATAGCCTTTAGTAATTTGGTGCTTGATTGACCTGTTCAGTGTTTACCTTTCTCTGATTATGCTAAATAATACCTTTGGATTTTTTTGGTTAAATTAAACCATTTTTCATCAATGTGGACGAAGTCATACATTGGATAATATCTGGGTTTTTTTCATGGTGTTGATCCCATCAACAATCTAAGGATCCACTTTAGTCTTGTGATCTTGTTTGCTCCAGTCATCTTTGGCTTTAGTGGATTAGTGTGTGGTTTTATATCAGCTCTCTGAATCATCCTTAGAATTGTACTTCTTGATATTTGTAGCATTTCTGCAACATCTCTAATGAAAGTCCACTCCCCAATGATCAATTTACTGATTGCATCTTCTGGATTCGCACCCTCTTCCTTCCTACAAGATGATACTTTGTGCATGGATTGTAATTGTTGGTTTCCTCCTTTTGCTACTTTGCATCATGCCACAATTTACTTACTATCTTTCTACAAGAATTGAATTGTTGCATTGCTTGTTTAATTGCTCCTGTTTAAATTGTACCCATAAGAATTCTTCAAGAGGAATATGAGGACATTAAACCTCTGTTCAGTACTGAGCCTGTTCTCCGCTTATAATGAGTTGGTGGCCTGCCATTGTTTGGTTGATGCTGACCTTGCTGACCATTTTGATGGTGATGAGTGTTGCTATGATGTTGATGCATGTTCAAATCAATACCAAGTCCCCCATTAGTTTCCATTTCATCATCACCACTATTGTTATTGTTGTCATCATCACTAAGCTTAACATCATCATTTGGAGGCTGATTTAAATCCAAACCTGAAGCCATGGAAGAACAAGGCAATGATGCCAAATAATTATTATTTTTTTTTAATTTTTTTTAAAAGTGATTATGAGAAATGGAAATTGTATTCAAAAGTGGAGATTATTTATATACTTTCCCTATTGTGCATAAAGTGGCGGGATTCTGAAAATTTCACCAAAATAAATTTATGGGGTGAATCCATGTGCAAGCAAAACTTTAATGTGATTGGTCCATTTTTGTCCTATGCATTGAATGTGATTGGATTATTTTGTTTGGTATGGATTATTTTATTGGCATGGATTGCTGACATGTGAGGAAGTGGAAATGGAAGAATGTTATGCATTTGTAAATAGATAACATTGATTAAAATATTTTAAAAATACATGGTAGAGAGAGAAAAGATGAGAGGGATAAGAAGAGAGGTCTGTAGGTGGATCCCACCTATTTTTGGTCGGATTGTATCACGTGATGGGGGGCCACGTGCTAATTGTTCCACTAAAAGTTTATAAAATACCATTGAATTCTTAGTGGTACTATTTATGCATAAATTTAGTACAACTGAATGCATATATAATACCATTATATGCATATATAGTATCACTTTATTTAATGGTATCATTTGATCATCTCATGATACCAGAATATGCATTCGTTTGTACATATGTATAATTACATGAATACCCCTTGTTATGAATTTCTACACGCCTAACATTCCTCCCTTTAAAATTCCTCGCTGACATGTACATCTTTATTTAAAGGGATTATCTTTAACTTATTTAATGTTGTCATTGCACTTCTGTCTTCCCAATTATTTTGTTTAAGGAATTTTCACATACCTTAATTCTCGTGTAAAAGTAGGAAATAGGGATGTAATAAAGTGACGGAGGGAATACTATATAAAGTAATGGGGTACAACTGGCAAAAGACATTTATTTTTTTTCTTAATAAGAGTGAAACCCCTATCTTTTGTTATGAAACCCATGTATCCTTACCATCGAACCAAGAAATTTTTTGCAATACTACTTATTTACAACAGGGTATCAAAATGCGATCGAGTTGTAACGTTGCAAGCGATACGTAGCAGATTTCAATTTTATATAAACATTATTTAGTGCTTTGTAATGGTTATTAAATCACAGCAATAATTCAACCGGTCCATATCGGTCAAGCCAAGTGTTACATTAATGAATCCTCCGTTATTGCATGCATTTTTAATCTTTATCAAGTTTTTTTAGAGATTATCTACTACATTCTTCACATCAATAATGACCCTTTTTTTTGTCCACTCCACAAGAATTATTGAAGGAGTGATGTATAGAAAATGAAGAAAGAGAAAAAGCTCAAGAACATTTCAGAGCATAAAGAAAAATCCCCAAAATTTGAAAAAACTATTCAGAGAAAATCAACAATTGAAAAACATACTAGATTTGACTTGTTGGAGACCAAATCAAGCATCCAAGCATAGAAGGAGTAGAAAAACCTTTAAAAAGTGTGGTACTCTTTTAGCAAAAATCGCGATGCACCCACCACGGGCCAGTTCGAGCAAGTTTGATTTTTTTATTTTTTTGTTGAAATCCGAATTCCAAGTCATATTGAATTAGATAATTATGAGAAGAAAAACAAATACAAAGAAGAATAGTGGAGCAGATCCGATAAAGAAATATAGAGGGAAAGAGGATGATAAAGAGGGAAAGAGAGAATGAACTATTTTTTTTGTGTTTACTATGAAACGTGCTGTAGAAGTGTTTTACTAGTAGGTTTAAGTTTTAATTTTATAATAAAAAAGGCATTGTTATTTTGACATTTGACCAGAAATAAATATTCTAGATACTCTTCCATGTGTGTAGAATTGTAGATGGCATATTAGCATTATAATTTTTGGATAATTATTTAGTTTTTCAATTTTTGTATAGAAAAGTTTGCCACATTCTTATTATGAGTGAAATGTAGTATTTTTTTCTAAAAAATTAACGATGCATTATGACAAATGATATATAATAATTAAATGATTTTAATTGAATAATAAATATGACATATAATAATTAAATGATTTTAATTGAATAATAAATATGACATATGATATATAATAATTAAATGTTTTTAAAATGTTAGAGCACTTTGATTCAAACTAATGGCACCAAGAGATGAAGATATTGGTCTGAAATTTGTAGCAGCAATTGACGCTAACAAACGTAAATTAAAGTGTAAATTTTGTTATAAAATAATTAATGGAGGAATAACAAGGTGGAAACAACATTTAGCTCATAAGAAAGGTGATGTTGCGCCATGTGAAAGTGTGCCGGCAAGTGTAAATAGAGGTAATATGATGTCATTATTGATGGATTATAAAGATAAGAAAAAAGATAAACAAAGAATTGATGGAGGTTGAGAATGAATTAAGAAGATTAATACGTAATGATAATGATGATGTTGATGATCTAGAAATCGAATTTTCTGCACGATAAAGTAGAATGCACTATGAGTTTGACTATCACCGTGATGCATGTAATAAAGGTAGTAGTGAATACTACAATGTTGGAGGTAGTAGCTAAATTAGGACTGTAGCTAAATTGTGACAAACAGACGCCTCTCGTCTCCTCTCCTCTTCCCCCCTCCTCTCTTCTAGGGTTTCTCCAAATTTTTGGTCGTTTAGGCCAAAAATATTCTAATTTCTTCAAAAGTTAGAATATTTCAAAAAAATTTAGGATTGTAGCGGATTTTTTACGAAACTAAGCCTTATTAGTAAACTATTTACGAATATAGACGA